AAAATAGTCTTTGAGGTTAGCATTTATACACTGGGGTTGGGAGGATGAGAAAAGAAAGAGATAAGAGGAAAAACCCCCAACAGGAAAAAGAGTATGAGCAAAAGCTAGGGCGTTGAAAAGCACAAATCATTTACGAAACATGAAAAATGAGTGGTACAATCTAGCCCAAGAAGAATATATGAGAAAGGTGCGAGTAATAAGAATGAGGCCATATTGTAGATGTTAAATGTAGAAAGATTAACAGCCACAATTTAGATAAAATTATAATAAATTGAAAAACAGTCCAAGTGCAAAAGGTATTGTTGCAAAAAACTGTATAGAATTGGTGTTCTTAGACCTCTGCTATTATTATTCCACGTTCATGTTTCAGAAAGATGGAAGAAAGTTTGCTCTCACATCAAGTTTAGATTCGTGAACCTGAGCTTCAAAACCTTTTTGTAATTTGTCCCAAAGACAATCTTTGATTACACTACTCACCAACTCTATATTGGTTTCCTCGGAGAGCATCAAAAACACCAGGTTCCAATTTCATGCCTTGGCTACTTCTGGCTTTTGGCTTATTCTCTTCATCTTCCGTTAATACATATCTGATTACAATCCATCCCTTAAATCCCAGCCTTATCAGGAAATGTCCTTGATGATCTAGACATTAACACTTTTCTGTCTCTAATACTTCATATCCATTTTATCAAATAGTAAAATGAAATGACTATCACAAGGGTCTGGCAGCAGGTCCCAATTTCAATTTGGGGCATTTACTGCCACAGATTTCTTCTTGTGTAAAATGAAGTGTTTGTGAATTAGTTAACTCTTAAGTCACTTCCCATCACTAGTTCAACATATAATGAGCACACCTGTGCTAAACTTATCCTAGATGCTGAGGATATAAGTGGTGAAAAAGTCCAAGCATCTATCTATCTATCTATCTATCTATCTATCTATCTATCTATCTATCTATCATCAATCATAGTTATCTTCCTTTAGTTCAGTGAAATTTAGCCTGTATCAGAATCACCTGGGAAAACAAATTTTAGTCTGCACAGATGCACATTATCACCCCTCCCCAACCAAGAGTTTCTTATGCAGTAGGTTTGGAGTAGGGCCCCAAATTTTGCATTTCTAAGATTTTTCCTGGTGATGCTCATGCTGGTGCAGGAATGACACTTAAAGTACCTATGTTCTATTGAAATGTCTGTCTTTTTATCTGCTGTATTGCCAGTGCCTAGAATAAATATTTATGGGATCAAAGAACAAATGTAAGGCATTTTGTTCATTAACAAAGAGGAATCCAGCTCTTTCCTTGAATGATGCTATCATTTAGAAAAGAAATAATAATTCTACTCATCAGAAAGGTACAGATAAGGAATGGTTCATGTCCAAAGGAAAATGAACTTCCAATCTGGAGAAAGGAGAGAAATTAAGAACTTTGTAGAGGAATGTATTTTGATCTATTCCTTGAAGGTCCCATATACTTATTTCGAAAACCCCTGTCATAACTAAAAATAGTTTTAGTACCTCTCTTTGGAACTTGCCCATTATTCTATGGTCAATCTTTTTTATTTTTATTTATTCATTATTAATTTGAGAGAGAGAGAGAGAGGTGATAGAAAAACATAATTGGCCGCCTCCTGTATGCCCCTACCAGGGATCAAACCCGAAACCTGGGTATGTGCCCTGACTGATAATCGAACTGATAATCTGGTGATGCTTCAACCAACTGAGCCACACTGGCCAGGGCTGGTGAATCTTTTTTATTACCCACAAAGCCTATAGAATCTTTATATTCTTATGTAAGTTTTGATATGTGGAAATGCTTAATATCATATTTTGGCCAAGTCTGGTCAGAAAGTTAGGTGATTTAGTGGCATAACTCTGTTCTTGGCTGAAAACAAGAATAGCTGAGAATTATAAATGAGCCCTGAAACAATTTCAGGGTAGGAGTTTAAGAATTGTTTTGACAAATGGGGGCCTGCTCATTTAATTTCTGAAGGTGATTAGTTTGAAGGACAGCCCCCATTTGGCCATAGGCCCTGATGTATGTTTAAAAATCACTCTCAGTACAGTTGACATTTTGATTTCTTGAAAGAATTGACCTCTGAATGTGCAAGATGCTATGTACATTTTTCTTCAGAATGCAGGCCATGCTATAAATATTTAAAGTTGAAACATTATAGGATCAAAGAAAGCAGTATAAAATGAAAGTTCTTCCAGAATACATCTATATTGGTACCAGGAAATACACATGGGTTCCTAAAAGCTCTTGGTAATTCTGGGCCACTCAGTTAATAATAAGTCATAGTTTCTGAGTTCTGAGCACTGAGCTGTGTGCTGGGTCACACTGGTCCTCTATGAAGGGAGCTATATCAAACCATTCTTCTAGTTTGGAATTGGGGGACTAATGAGAACATGGAAGACCTATGACCAAGAGCAATCTTACAGTCACGGCTTCTCCCTTCCTGTAGGTCCTCAGAGTCCCTCCACGACTCTGTTCACCCATCCTTTGAGCCCATGGTATCTTCAGTGTGGGATCAGCATATACTAGCTGTATTAGGTCAGCATTAAAGTATTAATAATTTTTAAGACCACTAATATCTCATACTTTTTAACAGAGTGCACTAAATCTAGTTTGGCCTGATACAAATGAAACAAACAAACGAAAAAAACAAGCAAACACTACAAGTCCTTTTGTTTAGATCAGTGATTCTTAAAGTGGGCTTCCCAGACCAGTGGTATCAGCCTCACCTGGAAACGTGTTAGAAATGCAAATTCTCCACTCTCTCCTCAGAAGTATTGAATCAGAACCAGGCAGGAGAGGGGAAGAGACCCAGCAATCTGACTTACATCATGGATCCAGGTGGTTCTGATGCATTCTAACATGTGAGGCCCGCTGGTTTAGATACTACTGGTAGCAGCAGTAAAGAAACTGCCAGATAAGCTGTGCAATCTTTTTTGAACTTTATGATTTAGTCCAATAGCCTATGACCATCCTCATGATTACTACATTTAACATACACACAGTTACACACATATTTGACGTCTAAGTTGTCCTTGACAGAACATGGGTAAAAAAGTCATGGCTTCTCTCTGTAAAGAGATGGTATGGGAAAAAGACAAATGGACTTGTGGTTATTTTCCCAAATGATAGCTTTCTCAACTCCCTTCACCCCTGCCCCGCTTCTAATGAAAGAATTGGGGAAAAACATTACTAGCAGGCACTGTTCTATTTCTTTTGACAGAGCAGGAAGATTTTATTAGGTAATATAAATACACTCTTTCACTTACAGGTTTCAGTTATCATGAGTAAATAGCTATGTCCAAGCTTGTTTTAAAGAACAATTAAAATATTTAAAAGTAAATTGAGGTTTTATATTATTTGTAGCTAAACCCTCATATTTATTTCAGGCCTATACATTACACTATGATACACACCCAAGATACATAATAAAATTTGTGATGAAACTTAAAGTTTCATAGTCCTTTCAAAAGGCATATATAGAATAAAATGATTCCCTGTTTAGGAGTTAAGACTCATGCCCTGGAACAGTGCAGTCCATAGACATATTAACCACATATGCAACTTTAAACAATGAAATGAGTGATATTAATGTTAAATCACATTTTGTTTAACTTTGCATATTAAAAATATCACCTCAACGTGTAAACAATATAAGATTAATGATTATAGGTTTTTAATATTCTCTTCAAAATCTTGCATGTATTTTACACGTATAGTACATCTCAATTAGAATGCTAAAATTTAACTGTAAATACCTGACTTTTATTTAGATTGAATAGTATTTATCATTGCAAAAGTAGATACTATACCCAAGTTATTTCAAACATACTAAACAATTTTCCGGTAGCCTAACTAAATATCAGTTTTGATGTTTACATTAATAAAAAATAAAAAGTTCACTTTCTCAACTTCTCAATCAACTTAGTCCCATTTGAAGCACTCAATAGCTACAGGTGACTAGTGGCTGCCGTATGGGGCAGCGTGGCTCTGCAGCTATGACAGACCATACCAGCTATGACAAAAAAGTCTGGCTTTGCCATTCACTGGCTGCTCAGCAAATTATCTAGCCCTCCCCAAGCTTCGCTTCTATCATCTGTTAAATGACGGAGGGGGAGCACACACACATTCCACTATGTATACTCAACTTCTGCCGTCAAAACTTGAGGCAAAATAGAAGTAGTTTGCTCTTCGCTTCATAATAGAGGTGGTGGAATGATTGCACCAGCCTGTAATGATCAGAACCAATATAAATACCTGCAATATAAGCACGGCTAACTTTCATTCATCCTCTGCAGCCACAAGCTGTTTATGGTTATCATCAATAGCGATGAAAGAGGAAAAAAGCAATATTATGAATAGCTCGACTGCAGCCTGCACTCAGCCACATCGGTTACCCAAGGTCAGGGTGGGGGCGGGGACGGAGCCGGCGCGCACTTTCGGCCTGTGTTTTTGGAAGTTCCTTCCCAGACATTATTTTCCTATTACTTTGTATTTTAAGGAGCAAAATCCCAAATCTGCTTAGACACGACCACACTTTCGTACAGCGTACAAGTAGAAAGTGTTCTATGAAAATACTTGAATCAGAACGAAGAACAAGCGGCACTACGCAGCTTTCGGTTGGCGGTTTCCCGCGCAGGCAAACGGAAGCAAACGCGCCCTTTACGTCAAGCGGGCGACCTCTGCTTGTTACCATGGTGAAGTCTCTGCGGCCATCTTTACTGTGGATAATGCGCACCAAGCTTTTCCTGGCGCGAGTGGTACCGCACCAGGAAAGTCTGCGGAGTAAGAGACCAGAAAGGAATCGTGCGTCCAGGTAGTAAGGAGCTGACAGAATGATGTAACATCAGGGACAGACACCATTAGCTAATTTAGTGGAACGTAGAAGAGCGGCTTCCGCGGACAGGCGGAACGATTTACGCGGACTTGGGAGGTTTCTGCCCGGAATTTGAGAGCCGCTTCCGTTGCTCAGCGGAAGTGTGGGTCTGAGGAGGACGACTCGCAAGAATCCGCTCGCTGCTGTGTGCACAGCCGGAATCATGTCGAGTTTGGCGGTGAGAGACCCGGCAATGGATCGATCACTGCGTTCCGTGTTCGTGGGGAACATTCCGTATGAGGCAACGGAGGAGCAGTTAAAGGACATTTTTTCGGAGGTTGGTTCTGTTGTCAGTTTTCGGCTGGTGTACGATAGAGAGACGGGGAAACCCAAGGGTTATGGCTTCTGCGAGTACCAAGACCAGGAGACCGCGCTTAGTGCCATGCGGAACCTGAATGGGCGGGAGTTCAGCGGCAGAGCGCTTCGGGTGGACAATGCGGCCAGTGAAAAGAACAAGGAGGAGTTAAAGAGCTTAGGGCCTGCAGCGCCCATCATTGACTCACCCTATGGGGACCCCATCGATCCGGAAGATGCCCCAGAATCGATTACCAGAGCGGTCGCTAGTCTCCCCCCCGAGCAGATGTTTGAGCTGATGAAGCAGATGAAGCTCTGTGTCCAAAACAGCCACCAAGAAGCTCGAAACATGTTACTTCAAAACCCTCAACTGGCTTATGCGCTGTTGCAGGCGCAGGTAGTGATGAGAATCATGGATCCAGAGATTGCTCTGAAAATTCTGCATCGCAAGATACATGTGACACCACTGATCCCAGGCAAATCTCAGCCTGTCTCTGGCCCCGTCTCTGGCCCCGGCCCTGGCCCTGGCCCTGGGCTCTGCCCAGGACCTAATGTTTTGCTGAACCAGCAGAATCCTTCAGCTCCTCAGCCTCAGCATTTGGCTAGAAGACCTGTGAAAGACATTCCCCCTCTGATGCAGACCCCTATCCAGGGTGGAATTCCGGCCCCGGGGCCCATACCAGCTGCGGTTCCTGGACCTGGTCCTGGTTCCTTAACTCCTGGTGGAGCTATGCAGCCCCAAGTTGGAATGCCAGTGGTTGGTCCAGTGCCTTTAGAACGGGGGCAGGTGCAGATGTCGGATCCTAGAGCTCCTATGCCTCGTGGACCCATGACTGCTGGTGGACTACCTCCTCGAGGACTGTTAGGAGATGCTCCAAATGACCCACGTGGAGGGACTTTGCTTTCAGTCACTCACACTGGAGAAGTAGAGCCCAGAGGCTATCTTGGGCCACCTCATCAGGGTCCCCCCATGCACCATGCCCCTGGTCATGACAGCCGTGGTCCTTCCTCACATGAGATGAGGGGAGGGCCATTAGCAGATCCCAGAATGCTCATTGGAGAGCCCAGAGGACCTATGATAGACCAACGGGTTCTACCTTTGGATGGTAGAGGTAGTAGAGACTCTCGAGGGATGGAGACTCGAGCCATGGAAACTGAGGTCTTAGAGACACGTGTGATGGAAAGAAGAGGAATGGAGACCTGTGCAATGGAAACCAGAGGGATGGAAGCAAGAGGCATGGATGGAAGAGGCATGGAGATACGAGGCCCTGGCCCAAGTTCCAGAGGCCCTATGACCAGTGGAATCCAGGGTCCTGGCCCCATTAATATGGGGGCAGGTGGTCCTCAGGGGCCCAGGCAGGTCCCAAGCATTTCAGGGGTGGGGAATCCTGGAGCTGGCATGCAGGGAGCAGGCATGCAAGGAGCAGGTATGCAGGGGACAGGCATACAGGGGGCAGGCATGCAGGGAGCGGGCATGCAGGGAGCGGGCATGCAGGGAGCAGGCATGCAAGGAGCGGGTATGCAGGGAGCAGGTATGCAGGGAGCAGGTATGCAAGGGGCAAGCATACAAGGAGTAGGCATGCAGGGAACAGGTATACAGGGGGCTGGCAAGCAAGGTGGAGGCCAGTCTAGCAGTTTTAGTCCTGGGCAGAGCCAAGTGACTCCACAGGATCAAGAAAAGGCGGCTTTGATCATGCAGGTTCTTCAACTGACTGCAGATCAAATTGCCATGCTGCCTCCTGAGCAAAGGCAGAGTATCCTGATTTTAAAGGAACAAATCCAGAAATCTACTGGAGCTTCTTGAAAGGTTTCAGAAAATACTTGGCAGTAATCCCAGAAAGTTTTTTTTGTAGCATGGAGAATGGGTGCAAATAGCTGACTTCTGCATCCCCACAGTTGAATGATTAGGTTTCCTCCTGCCAGAACCTAATCTCGTTTCTTCTTGTCTTTTTTTTTTTTTTTTTTTTTACTGTTTTCCTTTTTTTTTTTTTTTTAATTGGGAGGGGGAGGAGGGAGTGGATTTGTTCACTTTAATTTACTGTAAATATACAAAAAGAACTCTGAAAATGATACTATACCAAATAGGATTACAAAGAATATGTAGCAACATTAAAGTGTCTACAATATGTTAACTTCTTTAAAAAAATTGGTTAAAATGATGTGAAATCTGCACATAAGACTAAAAGATGACCTGTTAAAATGGCAGTTTACCTAGTCTAAGATTTTCGGTTGGATAAGAACAAGTTTACTTCCAAAATATAAGATATATTTTTGGTAAGTCATTTAAAATACAAAATCCTATTTTGGGGGTAATAGAATGTTGTGTTAGCTTAAGCATTCTTTCAGTGTTTTGTAATTATTTTGAAATGTTAGAGTTAACAGGATAAATCTAAACTCGTGGCATTGGAATTGTTTTTTTCTAAAGCTATGCTACCTGAAAAATCAAGGAATGCATGGTGTGATGTTTCCTTTCTCTCACCTTTCAGAGGCCAGCGATATTCTGGCCTGGTCCTGAACACGATGATTTTTCTAGGACACTTCTATGATCAGCCAGGTTACCTAAGTCTGCTCTAATGAGACTCATCTCTCCATACCTTCCTATTTCTTAATAGTCTTTAAGCCCTAAGTCAGAATCTGAGTTGTTCTCTCACATCCTTCCCTAAAATTGGTGTCTAGGACCAATTTATCTGGATGAATTGTAGACCTCATTGGCTTTTCATAAATAGCAAAGAGCTTAATACAGTAAATCTCTGCTTCTTGGTAACTAGCTTTCATATACAGATGATCCCATCTGGTAAACCAGAAACAGGGGTTAAAAGTCTTAGTCTCAGCAACATTTAAAATACCTTTTAAGTTTTCTTATATGATAATACATTTGTCTATCACTATCTTATCAAAATAATTGAAGCCCAGGTAGGTAGGTAAATTCTTGTAGCCTAAATTATCTCCTCAGTTGGTTATTACTTTCTATAAGTCATAAAGCCATTTACTTCTGGTATACATACCACTGAAAAATAGTTAAAAATCAATAGAGAGATGGAGCTTCTTATCACATTTCCTTCAGAGCTACTGCCTAATTTATTTTAAGCCTTGAGGACATATAAAGTATATCATTGACCACTGGTTAACAGAAGCACAAACACCTAAATAACCAGGTGGTCTTACTCTGAAGAAAAGAAAAAAAAACTAAAACTAATACCTACTTATAGAGGGGAAAATGTCATTTAATACAAGGAGAGAACTGAGACTTGGAAATTGAATTATTTTTTATTTGCAAGGTTTATACATCCTAAGAGGGTACAAAGTTTTCATCCCTATGCTGTTGTTTCTGGCTACCTGCTTTATTTTTGTTTTTACTATTGTTTATACTGTTAATTTTCCCATGTATCCTACATGCTTCCCCTAGATTGGAGGGGATAACTCTTCTCTACATGTGTGATCTGTATAATACTCATTCACAGAGTTGGTTTGATTACTTTGGAATTATAGGCCCTTCATCCCAAAGCTTTCACTGAAAGAGCTATAAATGAAAACCATTAAATGTTTTGTTCTTTGTTGTAGTAAAATCTCTGCATTGGTTGATGAAGACTTAATAAAAAGAATGCACAATATCTGATGTTTATTTCTAGTAAATGCATTATTCAAGTGATCTATTGTTGGGCCTGAATACTTTTTTTTTTTAATGAAAAAGAAGTAAAAAAAATGCAGGAATGGATAGGAATGAATCCGTTTCTTAGATTCATTATATATAGTTGCACAATAGAAATAAATTACATGGTTGGTATCAGTAACAACATTGGTGGATACTCAGATATTAGGCTTCCTTTTGTTTATGTTCCCCACAGAGAACACTTCTTTGTATCACAGGATCACCTTATAGGTATTTTCATTATTGACAGCACTTTTTAAAAAATTTAATTTAGTTAATATGTATTATTTTATTGATTTCAGAAAGAGGAAGGGAAAAGGAGAGAGAAACACTGATTGGCTGCCTCCTGCATGCCCCTACTGGGGATTGAGCCCTCCACCTGGGCATGTGCCCTGCCTGGGAATTGAACCTGTGACCTTCTGGTACATAAGATGATGCTCAACCACTGAACCACAGCAGCTGGGTTGACAGCACTTTTATATTGCAATGCACTATGTTTACTTTTACCTTCTACCGCCCCCCCCCCCCCCCATTCCCACTTAAATAGACCAGGAACTCTGAACATAGATTGTTATCACTCATTGCTGTATTCACTATAGCAAAAGTCACAGGTGAAAACGAAGGACAAAATGTTAAAAAATTTCAGTAAGAGCACTTAAGTTCCCCCCAAAAGGATTTAAGATTGTACACAGACCAAATGAACTATAAGAACTATTTATTTGCATTAGAAAGTAAACTAGAAATAGATAATAGAAGCAATCTCCTTTACTTTGGTAAACCTAATAAGATAGGTTCCTCCAATTCACTGCCTGACTGTCCCAGTATGGATGTAGAAAGTATAGAGTCTTATTTCATTTTGATAGTGAAGACGACAAGCAATGTGTGTCTGCTACAATTAGTTCCTTAGGCGTTTTATTGCATAATGGTTGGTTATAACCCCTGGCATCCTGCATTTTCCCAAATATGATAGACCACAAATTAAATCACAAATTCATAATAACAATAGTTGAAGATAATAGGACGAAACACTGATTTGCAAATGCCTGTTGGGCAGTACATGTTTATTAGGAACAGGAAATGATCAGATTTAATCAGCACCTGTTTATAATGAATTTAATCACTAGTATTTCCCCTCTTATATTGTTAACATCAAAATGTGTTTTAATGTCTGCTGAATACCCTTGCCTCAGGACTACTGATCCTGGGGTATTCCGTGAGATATAAGCCTATGTGAATCTCAGGTGAAGGTTGGCAAATTCAACTGAGATTATATATGACTTTACACTTTTCAGAATTCTAATGGTAGAAAGCAAAAACAACAACAAAAACTTAATCACAGCTTGCAAAGCGTTTGCTTTTTCATGCTGTGATGGGACATTAAGCACATGGAACCTAATTTCCTATGGTGTGTCAACCTACTGTGGCAGAGAAATAATTATCAGTTAACATCTCAGTCTTCTCACAAAAGAATATGACAGCCTCTCACTGCTTTATATTGTCAGCTAATCTCTAGACACACTTCTGGTTGGAGCTTGCTTTTCTCTTCAATCTCTAGTCAAGAATGCTTGATAGGCAAGATTATTTATTTTAAGGAAATTAATATATTTAAATAATAAATATAATTATATTGTGTTTTCCATAGTATAATATATGATATGTATTATACAACTTGCTAATATTTTCATATATATTTCAGATCTTAATCAGATTTTTAAATATTTCAATTCGCTTTTATGAATCCTGAACAAAGTTGATTCCATTGGTTGAAAATTCAGCTTCACAATTATTCATATTACTCATTACTTTTCCCATGAGATGTAAACTAGCATGTTACGTCTTGATGTTTTTCTACCAAGGTATATAATTTATGTCAGTAAAGGGCATTTATTGCATCAAAGGTGATAGTGAGGTAGTGATGTCAAAAATGACAAACCTGCCCTGGCCAGTTTGGCTCAGCAGCAGAGCATCAGCCTGCGGTCCAGAGAGACCCAGGTTTGGTTCCCGCTAAGGGCATGTACCTCGGTTGCAGTTTGTCCCTGGCCCTGGTTGGGTCATGCGGGTGGCAACCACTCGATGTGTCCCTTTCACATCAATGTTGCTCTCTCCTTCCCCACTCTATCTGAACAAAAAATGGAAAAATGTCCTCGGGTGAGGATTAAAAAAAAAAAAAAGACAAACCTGGTGTTTATTAAATACATAAAATAGCAAAAATGTTTACCCAGAAAAAGAAATGATGTTCTGATTAATGACAACTCTTCAAAGCCAGGAGTTGATTTAGGTCCCAAAGGAAGTAAGCATAATGAAGGAGTCTGAATAAAATATACCACATTCTAAATTATAGTCAATTTTGTATGAATCAGTATATATAAAGTCTGCAGACATTTAAAAGCGAACTCATGTGTGTCACAAAGTAATCATTTTAAAAGTCAATTTAAAAAAATCAAATCTAGCCCTGGCCTGTGTGGCTCAGTTGGTTAGACTGTCATCCCATATACCAAAAAGTGGTGGGTTGTATTCCTAGTCAGCACAATATCCAGGTTGTGGGTTTGATCCCCGGCCAGGGGTCAGGGTGTGTACAGGAGGCAACTGATCAGTGTTTCTCTCTCGGATGCTTCTCTCTCTTTTCCTTTCTCTAAGAAAAGGTACCTATTTGATTACTTATGTATTGTCTGTCACAAAAATAGAATGGATAATGGCTTGGGCATCAAGAAGTGAAACCAGCAATTCCCCCCCAAATTATTTTCTCTATTTAGTTAGCTTATTTCATCAGAATTCTGTCCCACTGAATTACTAATCTCTCCAGTAGTTTACTGTAAACATCTGTGAGCCAATTCAAAGGGCCTGTAAGACTGCTTCACCTTGCTGCCTGAATGTGAAGTGACTTGTATCTACTTAGGAATCTATGTATTTGACCCTGGATGTTCCACGGGAAAAGACACACCTGATGGAACTTAGTCCCCAATTTCCTCTATCTTAAAGGCTCACTTTAATAACATTCAAAACATGAGACATCAAAAAGTTGTGTGTTTGAGTTAACAATGTGATGGAATGGCCCTCATAGGGCTTGCTTGGTGCATAGACATTTCTAAAATTATACTCTATACCCAAATATTCTTGTTCATATATTAATATGGCAACATAACTAAGAAGGATAAGAACATTGCCAGACACAATACATAATTGAGTATATTTCCTGTCTTCAGGTAAGCCTGTATCTGAAATGATTTCATCTTTTTTATACTTATGAAGCAGAGAAAAAAGATCCTCTTGTATTTTAAGAAAACAGAA